AAGGGGTTGTCCGGGGGTTTGGGTTGTCGGGGAGGGGGGGTTGCTCCTAATATCCTCTACAAGATGAGTTCTGCCTTTTGTGTGTAGTTTTTACCTAGGTTGTTATTTTGGGTCTTGTCACAACTCCTTTCTCCTGGCACTGGAATCTGCTTGAATGCAGGCTTTACATCTCTAGCAGGAGTGATTTGCAGGGTTCCATCTCTGGGGGATGAACTTCGTCAACAGTTATCAATATATCAGTGTGCAACACCAGTACAGTTACAAGGTATAAAAATAACCAAGGCCAAACTATATTATTTCAAGGAGTTCCGATAATTCTTAGAACTCCGTGATTAGCTCAGACGCCATCCTTATTTAATTTTTCATATATATATATATATAAATATATATATATATATATATATATATATACGTAAGCGGTTATAAACCTATTGCACCGTGTTTGAGGGTCGCTGCAGGCATTCTGGGATCGTAAGCGCAAATATGCTCAGTCAGGCACATATCACGTGATACACTGTCAATGTGACATTGTTTTCATTTTATTTTTGTGTGCAGAAATGAAGATTGTAGGTTAAAAAGTACATACAGACTTGGACCTGCAGGCGACCGTAAGATTACAAAACGATAGCTTCCATGCTTGAAACCACTTTGCTCTCATTTCCAGAGAATGACTCAAATTAAAAGCAAAGAACGTATTTGTGGATCGTACTTCTGTGGACGGGGTTGGGCGTGGGGGACCTTTATGATGAAGAGTAAATCTCCCGAAAATTAAAAGTTTGCAATTTAACATCTAAATCTCATTGTTTGCTGTGAAAATTCTCAGATAGCATGCAGCCTTTTCGTTTGTGAGTCTGTCATATACGATTCTGTTCAGGGAGTCTGCACATTCAAACCCAATACAGATGTGCATTTCACAAGTTAAAATATCAGAAGTCTCAAAAAATAAAATTGAATAAATTCAAAGCTGAAATCATTTTTTAAAGCAGGAGTATACAAAAAATCTATGACAGTCTCAATTTTACGTCTACATGTAATTTCTATTGTGGCATATAATCGTTAACTTACGTAACCAAATGGCACTTTTGCATTTTGATACTCAAGAACAAAGGTGTACACGTGGTGTATACTGGTATATGCACGGGGTTGTCTTTACGCCAAAATATTCACACAGAATACCTCACAGAACCATACTGTTTATGCTATCCTATCCGGACATTCCAATCCATTTTGGGGGAAAATAGTCCTCATGGTTGGTGCGCCACCACAAGTGGGTGCCAGGTTTGGGCCAGTCTTTATAGTAAACCACGTCTCCCCCGGCCAACCACGCGCCCCACCAAGAAAAGGTACCCACTGATATTATGGTGTGGTTACAACTTCCTAAGAGAGCTAAACTCAGAATGGGGTCGTTGAATGGGTTGTATCGGATTCGTGGGTGCTGAATATTCTCTTTGCACCAAGACATATCATCAGACAGTACAATAAACAGGATGTTTTTATAGATATTCTCAAAGTACCGCATGGCTTTGGTGTAGTAACTAGATGGCGCCACGTTATAACCACGTTCAAGTGTGTTCGTGCGCAAGTCTTTCCAATTCCGGGCATGGATTCCAATATACGTTACTTCCTCCCTTTTGTTGTTCATCCCAAGTTCTAGTAATGCATTGTCAAAAAAAGCTTTGATTTCTCTGCGGAACTCTGCCTCCTTTCGGAAACGAAAATGTTGCTTGAGATCATCTTCGACATTGTGGAAATATTTCCAGGACTGCAAATAATACAATAACTGTACCGATTGGCCTTTCTTGCACAATGTCTCCGTCCTGTTATCATAAAAAGCGTATTTCTTCTCATGGAATTTCACAAGTTTAACACCAGGCGGTAAAGAGTGGGGAATGTAATCCGGGATTTGAAACACTCTCCGTACCTCCGCGTTTGCAAGCAGGACTGGTGTCATGTTATTTCGTTTTGCAATTCCATACATTGACGCATATTCAAACATACGGTTACCCGTGCGACCAAAAACCCCTGTCATGATGAAAAGTCCCGTAGAATTAATCCAAGATTTTGATCTTTTTTCCAGCGCTGCTTCCATGTCTGGTGAAACAGAACGGTGCGCTTCATGCATATTTTCAGTTTTCACGGATTCAGTTTTTGTCTTTAGTGTATTTAGTTTGATTTCACTGGCTAAATCCCTTCTGTCCAAGGACCTTGGAGATGTGATGGGAAATTTGTTTGACATGGAGATGTTGCCTTGTAGGTGACTTTGCGTCGTGTCAGAACCCCAATGTCGTGGCGTAGGCTTTTCTTCTCTGGCAGTAACCAGCGCCGTTTCAGTTTTCATAAGTGATTCGCGAGTTTTCATATCTGGGGGATGGAAATTGCCAACACGGATAAATGTATCAGAGTACCACACCAATACTGTCAAACCAATTGCTCCGAAAAACACTAAAAACCGAACTATTTTTGCTGCTGTCGCCATTCTTTTTGCTTTCAAAATGAAATTTAACCAAAGCTGATGCGGGTAAGTCAATATGATTCGCGAGACGCATTTCGGGATTGTAACCAAATATTGTCAGTTAGACACATTTTATATCAAAAATGACTCTTCATCCATTTCGAGGCTGATTCAAAAACTAGAACTGAAAAACGTTTTTTAAGATCATAATTCTGTGAACAGGCTTGGATAGGGTGGGCCTTGATGTTGATGAATAAAGAGCTGGAATCTCCAGGCAAATTAAAACTTTGCCATATAAAGGCCTAAATCTTATTTTTTTCCAATGAAATTCTCAGTTCGGTTAAGTCATGGATGTACGTTGGTATACAGCTGCACAGATCCTGCGTTCATTTAAATAAATAAGGACAGACACCATTATTTAATAATCATATATTGAGTAATATTATCTTTATTATGGAATTGCTATCTTATTATCTTGGTGTGCATGAACAAACCTTGTAGGACCATACTGTGCACAGGTATTCGGCTGCGGTGGTATTTTTAGTTAGCGAAAAAACATGTAACGGAATAGAACACTTAGTAGATCCGCCATGTTAATGCTATATCATATTCGGATATTCCAATCCACCTTGGGGGAGAAAAAATCCTCATGGTTGGTGTGTCACCCCACAAGTGGGTGTCAGGTTTGGGCCAGTGGAATGTGTGTGTTTGGGAGGGGGTTTTCGGGGGGGGGGCTGTCAAGGGGGTTGTTCGGGGGTTGGCGATGTCAATAAGGTTTTCCGGGGGGGGGGGAGGTATACCTAGTATCCTTTACGAGATGTGTTCGGTGTTTTGTGTGCAGTTTTTACCTTGTGTCGTGTCATAACTCCTTTGTCCTAGCACTAGTATCTGATTGAATGCAGGGTTTTCTCCTCTTGCAGTAAGCAACGCTGTTTTATTTTTCAGGAGTGATTTGCTGGGTTCCATCTCTGGGGGATGAACTTCGTCAACAGTTATCAATGTATCAATGTGCCACACCAGTACTGTTACATCAATTGCTATAATTGTTGACAATTTTTGGAACTCCTTGATTCGCTCAGACGCCATTATTAATTTTTCATATATATACGTAAGCGGTTATAACTAAACCTATTGCTGCATGTTTCAGGGTCGCTGCAGGCATTCTGGGATTGTAAGCGTAAATGTGCTCAGTCAGTTCATATCATACCATACACAGTCAATGTGAAATTGTTTCCATTTTATTTTTGTGTGCAGAAATGAAGATTGTAGGTTATTAAGTATAAACAGACTTGTACCTGCAGGCGCCCGTAAGATTAAAAAACGATAGTCTTCATGCTGGAAACCGCTTTCATTTCATTTTCATTTTGTCCTAATTGTGACATCCAACCCACAAAAATGCATGCATGATTTGATATATTATTATCAGTATCTTTAATAGCAAGCAACTTTTTTTACTGTACAAATCTGCATCTCAAATACGAGAATGACTCAAATTAAAAGGAACATAGTACTAAAAACGTGTTTGTGGATCGTAATTCTGTGGACGGTGTTGGACGTGGGGGACATTTATGATGAAGAGTAAATCTCCAAGAGAATTTAAATTGTGCTATTTAAGATTTAAAACTCATTGTTTACTGTGAAAATTCTCGGCTAATCCAAGCTCGGTTCAGTTTCGTATGTACCTGTACGTGTACTAAGTGGCATGCAGCTGTTTTATGCTTCACAGAACCCAGGCCTTCCCAACTACCAGACTCGGCACCTACGGGTCCAGTATAAACCGGTTTATCAGAACACACTACCCGTTTTCAAGGTGTGTGTCAGATCGCATTACAGAGTATCAGCCACCACACCAATTTTGCCTGGTGCGCGATGTGATAGCAATGATCCTAAGCGGGGTTGGAAAGTAGTGCATCTCATCTAGATTCATGCGCTGCTGCAATTTTCTCTGTTTATGTTAAAATCTGACAGTACCGCAATTTTTAACATAAAATTTAGGTTCGGACATAGCCATTGATGTTTTGTAAATAAGAACTTGCAAACTTATTTATTAATTTAGAAAAGTAGACCTAATTTTGATAGCAGAAGCATATTCTGTCGGGGGTTAAATATTTTCGTGACTACCGGGATGGACGAGATTGAGGGCAGGGGTAATCCTAGAGAGGGGTGAGAAACGTCCATTGTTCTCGTCAGCGAGGCTGTCCTTTTTCAGGGTTTGTACGCACGGACAGAAAACTTAAGTATTGTGGGAACGTTACTAATGAAGCCACTGGTAGTACTAGTAGATATCAGCCTGTAGTCTTGAACAAGCGCCTCGATGACGAGTGAACAGTTGTCAAAAACAAAAGACCCAGGTGTGGTAGTTCAACTACTGTTGATGCGTGCCGCAACGACCAAACCTAATTGCTCCTCAAGGTCACAAAACAATAACCGGTACTGACGGCTAGGCTCGTCTTAATCANTCAGACACTTACGTAACCAAATGGCGCTTTTTCATTTTGGCATGCAGGAACAAAATTTGTACACGTAGCGTATACTGCTATATGCACGGGGTTGTCTTTACGCCAAAAAATTCACACAGAATACTGTACCTCACAGAACCGCAGTGTTTATGCTATCCTATCCTGACATTCCAATCCATTTTGGGGGAAAATAGTCCTCATGGTTGGTGCGCCACCACAAATGGGTGCCAGGTTTGGGCCAGTCTTTATAGTAAACCACGTCTCCCCCGGCCAACCACGCGCCCCACCAAGAAAAGGTACCCACTGACATTATGGTGTGGTTACAACTTCCTAAGAGAGCTAAACTCAGTATGGGGTCCTTGAATGGGTTGTACCGGATTCGTGGGTGCTGAATATTCTTTCTGCACCAAGACATATCATCAGACACTACAATAAACAGGATGTTTTTATAGATATTCTCAAAGTACCGTATGGCTTTGGTGTAGTAACTAGATGGCGCCACGGTATAACCCATATGTTCATATACTATGCGCATGTCTTTTCCATACCGTGCATGAATTCCAATGTACGTTACTTTTTCCCCTTTGTTGTTTATCCCAAGTTCTAGTAAGGCTGTGTCAAAAAAAGCATCAATTTGTTTGCGGAAATTTGCCTCCTTTCGGAAACGAAAATGTCGCCTCAGATCATCTTCGACATTGTGGAAATATTTCCAAGAACACAGGTAATAAAACAATTGCACTGATTGGCCCTTCTTGTACAATGTCTCCGTCCTGTTGTCATAAAAAGCGTATTTCTTCTCGTGGAATTTCACAAGTTTAACACCAGGCGGTAAAGATCGGGGAATATAATCCGGAATTCGAAACACTTCCCGTATCTGTATGCTTTCAAGCACGACTGGAGTCATGTTGTTACGTTTTGCAATTCCATACATTGACGCAAACTGAAACATACGGTTACCCAAACCACCAGAAACCCCTGTCATGATGAAAGGACCTGTAGAATTAATCCAAGATCTTGTATCTTTTTTCCACGCTTCGCTCATGTCTGGGGAAACAAAATGGTGTCCTTCACGAACAAAGAACAACGCTGTAGGCCTATCATTTTTCAGGTGCGCCTCGCCCGACTCGCAAACTTCCGTCACTGTGGGGTGGAAATCGTAAAAAGTTACAAATGTATTAGTGTACCACATCCATACTGCTACAGAAATTGCTCCAAAAATCACTAAACCCTTTACTGCACTCGCTGCAGTTGCCATACTGTTTTCATTTGCAGACTTGTACAGCTCTGTATACAGGTCTGTATACGATTCAAGGGCGGTAAGTGTCGCCACGGGCATTTTAGCACACAAGCCTACACATAGTATGTCAGTTATAGTCAACGTGAAATTGCTTTTTTATATTTTTGTGCAGGAATAAATGATGTACGCCTAGTGTGTACAAGTGTGCAGCCTACAACGGCTGTGCATGGAATGGTTCAATTTATGCACCACTTCCTTTCCCACGATTCATTATTTTTGTCCGCCTTTGAGTGTACAAATTTCCTTTCCTTTTACGAAAGGAACTGTAAAAATAGAATCTTAGATCTGAAAACGTGTTTATGGGTCGTTTTTCTGAGGACGGATTCGGACATGGTATACTTGGGGATATTGGAAAATAAAAGTTTTGAAATCTCCGAGATTTTTTTTTCTTTTATTTGCTTTATAAAGGTCTTACGCTCATTTTGTGCTCAATATGCCTCAAGCTTACTAGTATATCGCCTCGTATAATATGGTAATGACTCTTATTTTTTCAATGAGGAGAAAGTAGGCTATCAGTGTAGCTCATCGGAGCCACAGAGTAAAACGATGCTTATGTCAACAACCATTCCTTTCTTTTCAGTATTTCAGGACAAGTTTTTAAAATTATTAAAAATACATATCTAAATTGCTTTTACTGAATAGTATGTAACTGTAAAGTAGTATCCTTTTCGTTTTGTTGCTACCATTCAGCAGGAATGTCCTACGAATCTATGACTTCGAAAAATACAGTATTTGTAAAATCCACTATTTTCCCCACTATTTTCCTGAATATCTATGCAGTTGGTAAGTTTGTTGGCCTGGTCATGGGCGCTGCAGGCATTTGAGAATAATAAGCAGACTTTGTTTATCGAGGGTCCCACTGGGTATTTACGTTACCGTAAAAGTCACTTTTTATTTCCCGAAATGTATTTAGCGAGGTTCGCGAAGCACCCCACTCCCGTGACTCGCGAATGCGGCTTTTTATTCCTTGTCCTTCGTGAAACAGAATGATTCGCGATTTTCTACTCGCCGGACTCGCATTTTATATGAAATATGGATAGTTTTATTTACTGTGATTTGATTTTATTCCATTGTGGTGTGATCACCCCCCCCCCCTCCCATGGACCCTCTTTATGATACATTAATCTTGCACAGTCTATGTGAAATTGCTAGTGCCACATATATTGATATATAGGCCTAAAGAATATACGACAAGTGTGCACAGGAATATGCATCCACCGTTGAATATTTCGTGTAGTTTGAATTTCCTGGCCAGTCGCATTCTAACG